ACTTTAACAGGCAAAGAGTAGGTCTAGCCAGTATCACTCAGCAGAGAATTATTTCATTAACAACACCACAGGGTTCTAATACATACAAAACAATGCCAGTGGAAGAACTAGATTGACAAGTACAAACATGGGCAACCTCACCAATATGATTTGAGTAAAAGCATCAAGTTGAAATGCAGTGTGATATTATTTATACAAAATGCTAAAAGCCTACAACTTAATAACATATATCATTTTGGCTGACTTTCTCCCTATGAGGCTTAAATGGGACAATGCTTGTAGAGAGCCTGAGGCAGCATCTGGCAAAAGTGAGCCCATGTGAATATCAGCTTCTATCCATATCGAGAAAAAAAATAAACCTCTGGCTTTTTGAAGGCCCTGTTTTTGGACTGTCAATTCTGCTGAGGCAAACCTACATTTTACCTAAAGTGGTGATGTACCATTTCATACTTTTTAAATGAATGTAGAATATTTTAAAGTTAAAACAAAAAACTATACACAGAAAAGAAAAAAAGGAGGGGGGCAATGTAAGAAGAAAGCTCCGCTCTGGGTCTAAGGAAGGCTTGCCAGAGGAGCAGGTGGGTGCAGGCCCACATCGAGCACAAGTCAGAGAGCTCAGCACCTGTTGGTAGAGACAGAAAGACACTTTAGAAGACAAGATCTCAGCAACCACAAGCACATTTATAATAGGATTGACTGTTTTTCTGTCTTCTTGTTTTAGTTTTCAAATCCACTTTGGCCACGTAGAACTGAACCTTGAACAACATGCGTTTGAACTGCACAGGTCCACGTACAGATGGGATTTCTCCAATTATTAACAGTGTGGTACTGTCAACATATTTTCCCTTCCTTGTGATTTTCTTACTGACATTTCCTTTCCTCTAGCTAACTTGATTGTAAGAATACAGTATTTAATACTATAACACATAAAATATATGTTAACTGACTATTAAATTGTCAATTAAACTTCTTATCAACTGTAGCTAAGTTCTGGGGAGTCAAAAGTTACAGATGGATATTCAACCACACAAGGGTCAGCTGTTTCATGTAAACAAAAGTGAATAAGATGGGATAGTCATCTCTGGTCACAAGAGAGGCAAAGTATGGTTTCTAACAGTGAGTCATGGAGTGGTGATTGAGGCAGCTAGACTCCCACCGAGTGATGATGGGATAGTGAGTGGGCCTGTTCCTCTTAAGTAGGTTCTGCAATACCACTGGCTCATAATCACATGGCAGGCTAAACCAGCGGAAGGAAGAGAAAACCGCCCTGGTGACTTTCCATATGCACATGCTGTAAGCAATTCCTGGTTGCAGCATCACTTATCTTGTGGTCATATTAATATTTTTATTTTTCCCTTTGCCATTAATACATTCAATTGTTACTCCTCTTTATCAGTTTAAATTTTCTGGAAGTCTAAATTAGATGCCAGCCTTAAGTGATCAGGACTCAGTCTCCTGGAGACTCACACAAGAAAGTTTTTCCAGCTGGAAGCCCCAGGTAAAGGGAGGCCCAGGTGAAGAGTGGCTCTGCCTTGTCTGAAGGTTTCCTGCCCCTTCAGTGCTTCCTTTGACCTGGCTGTGATCACTCTATTCTATGTGAAGTCCAGGGATTCTCTCTGTCCCTGCTTTCCTCTTTGTCCACATGGACTCTGGACACACTCTTGTTTCCCAGCACAGGAACCAGAGCACCTCAGGTTATCTGGGTGGGGCCCCATGAGGAACTGTCAAGCTGGAGGTGCAGGGCCCTTAGGAAGCAGTCTGTAAGCCAAACGGACAATCCAGGGCAAGACAGTGCAGGACAGTTGGAGAGTAGGACCAAGTCAGGCTGGGCGGTGAATCAGACCATCTGGAAATTGTTGAGCTGTAAGGTCAGAAGGAAGGAGCTGGGAGGAATGTCCTGTGTCTAGGACAGAGATGGTGATTTCTACTCACCTGCAGCATCACCTTTGTCTCCACAGGGAAGAGCTGGTGGTTTGGTCCTGGCCACTGCTAACATATTCTGATTTCTGAAAGGAGTGCTTTCAGATATACAGGGCTCTTGTTCTAAGGAATCAAGCTCATTTCAGTGAGCAGTTACTGAGACCTTCCTATGTGACCCATATGGGGCGCTCTATACCAGTAACATAAAGGGAGCTTGACAAAAGTCCTACTTCCCCTAGAAGACAAGCACTAATTACTTAGGTTAGTGACACAGAGTTCTTCCATGGGACTCTAGATAGCATTACAGAGAAGGTACATTTGGCCTGGGCATTGGAGGATGAATAGGAGTCCCTAGAGAAAAGGTACCCCAGATCCCAGATAGAGGGGTGGTCTGACAGACAGTTGGGACAGGCTGCTATAAGCTCCCAGATGCGGATCCTATACCTCTAGGTTTATTTGGGGCCTACACAGTGTCTGTGCCTATGTCTTTTGGGTTCTAACAGGGTAGGATACACTTTCATTCTTCTCATTCCTTGGCTTAATATCCTTCTAATTCCTTCCTGATATGCTAATAGCTGTCAGTCTGGAAAGGGAGACCACCCAGACCACTAAGGATGTGGCAAGAGTATAAACATACTTGTAAGAGTAAGGTATCCATCCATGCACTTTTGATTCCAGGTCTGGATGTGGCCAGCTGCGAAACTCTTCTTAGTTGCACAGTGAGGACCAGTGTGGTGCACATCCCTTCTGTGAGATCATGTGATGACATTCCCTTGGATGAAGAAGACATTGACATATAAAAGACAGATCTGTGTTCTTCAGGCCCTTATCATGGCAAAGTGTGAGTGGCCTCAGTGGGCATTTGCTGGCTCTGTTGGGACACTTGCCCTCTATCCATGTGTGTCATGATTCTGTTTCACACAGATTTCCATGGCCTGTCCCCACTACTGAAAATCCACAGAAACATCTCTATGATGGCAAACACTTCCATCTCACCCCTAAACAAACATCATTCTCAGGCTAAAAAAACCATATCATGTAAGCTTCGGTTTGTATAAACTTAAAGCCATCTGAGAAATGATGTGACCATTTCTTTTCCTATCCTTTCCTTTTTCTTTTTTTCTTTTCTTTTCTTTTCTTTTCTTTTCTTTTCCTTTCCTTTTTTTAAATTTTTGTTTTTGGTTAATCTGCATTTTTGAAATATGAAATATGAATGCTACAGCATTCTACAACTCATAGATTAGAGGTGAGTATACACCGATCAAACTACCACCATCATTACAAATAACACATCACAGCCTGGCAGGATGGAGTCTGTGGGGAACAAGGCAACAGTGACCATGGAACTTTGCCTGAAGACTAAGATCACATAAAACTGTGGAGGTTAAGATACAAGGATGCTCACATTCCCTGGAGTAAGGAGATGAAGATCTCAGGGGGGAAGATTAGCTGGGGGAACCTGGAAGGATCTCCTGAATGCAGGCAACACTCATAGTGCAAAATTTGAGTTGGAGAGACCCCTCTCCTGGGAAGGATGCCAGCTCTGAGGACCTCTGGGCAGTGAGGATGGGCTGTCAGATTCTAAGCAGCCTTCTCTGTCTGTAGGGCCATCTGGTCACAGATGCCTAGGGTCTGCAAACTCTATACCAGGCATGGAGTTCTGACACCTCCCCTGATCTGGTGCAGTGCCCACAAACCATCCTCAGCTCCAGCTTGTGCCCTTATACTTGAATCACTTTTCTTTGCAATTTGGCTGCAACCCCTCCTCCCACCAGGGACTCACTCTGAACTGTGCTCCCTAACGTGTGGTCCAGAGATCAGGACAATCAGCATCACCTGGGAGCAGATGAAGCACCCGAGAGCAGGTGAAGATGCAAACTTTCCAGCCCTGCCATAATGACTGGGTCAGAATCCTGGCTGAGGGAAAGGCTCTGGGTGTCCACAGGCCATTCTGGTCCACCTGAGTTCACAAGGAGCAGCAGGCAAAGGCTGAAACCTTTCACAGGCACAGAGTTGAAGCCTTGTTTGGAAGGATGTGCTCTTTAGTCTTTCCAGAGTCCCATCGGCTGCTCCAGATGGAGGCTGTGAGGGTCCTTCTCCAGAACCCAGACTCTGCGCACAGGAAATTGTGTCCTCTGAGTCTTCAGGACCTCTGCCACGAGAGGGCACTGATGCACAGCTCAGCCAACCCTGGGAGCTCAGTGGTTTACTGCTGTGTCTGTTTCTCCCTCACTCCACCTTCTCTCTTCTAGAGCAAATTCCTAAAAAGGGATCTATAGGCTCAGTGTGTGTCAAGGGTCACTTTTGCTGCAGCACCTTTGGAGAGTGAGTGCTTACATCATGCATCTAGGCCCCCAGGCTGAGCACATGACAGCATATCCAGAGGCTGAGAAGTGCAAAGGGAGATACAGCGAGCTCAGCTGGAAGCTTCTGGTTCCAGGAACTTGAATTCTCCTAGCCTGGCATCATCCTCGGATCCAGTGAGCCTTGTCAACTCCACTACTCTAGGGGAGCTGGGGAACTGAGAGGGATACAGATAACTGACCCCATCAAGACCTCAATGTTCCTTCCTTCCAAAGATACCCATTTTTCCCTGGGCAGGTTGCCTCTGTCCCCATCAAAGCTGGCTCTTGGCCACTCATCCTATTTTGGATCTGTCCTTGTCTCAGTGGCCCTCACCCCACTGCTGTGTCCTGGGGTCATCTTCCATTTCTACCCCTTGCTCTTATGTCCTTGTATCAGCCTTTGATTCTGGGGCATCCAAATGAAGTTTCTGCCCAGTGAGGAGCTGAGGGGGATGTTGTGGCTGGGACTCAGCTACAGGGGACCTCTGCCTCCCATTGCTGGTTCTTTCCAACCCACCCTGCCTGGGTTTGTCCCTCTCTCTGGACACAAGACAATTTTGCAGCTTGGGATGGGGAAGGCAGGGTGATATGTGGGAAGGGACAGTCTGTAATAGTAGATAGGAAATCCAGAGGGAGTTGTTCTGAAGCCAATGTACTGGACCAATGCCTAGGGAGCCTCAGATTGGAACCTGAGCTGGGAAAGCAAAGGCCATGAGTGCCCAGATGCCTGTAGCCATGCCACGCTGGCAGTGTAGGTGGGCTCTGTCCGCGACCTTGCTGCTGTTTCTCTTAGGTTCCCCATTCCTAGTGACTCATGGGTCAAGATCTGGAGAGGAAGTAGATAATAATGACCAGAAAACCATGGAGATCTTCCTCTCTGCTACCGTGGAGTATGCCTTACATGTATTCAACTTGCAGAGCAATGACACGAAGGCCTACAGGTTGGTGCGCATCCTGGATTCCAGGATAGAGCAGGTAGGTACCACACCCTGGTCTAATCTGCACTTGCTATAAAGTCAGATCAGGAGGGTCCTATCTAGAGATTTTGTTCTGAAGTCCATTAAATACAGCAAAAATACAAACTGTAAATTTCAGTTATATGAAAGAATTTAAAAATTTAATTACCCTGGTCAATGTCTACCACATGTAAGATGTTCCAGTTTTTATCTTTATATGAAGTTACTTATTGATGATCAAAATACAGACTATGAGAAAATAAAGATACTGAATAGGGAAAAGAACAAGACAGAAAGGAGGAAGAGAAGATAGACTGAGAAAATATCAGAGATGGATTGAAGAAATATTCTAGGAAAACATATGCAGAAAGAAACAATAGACATGGAGAAAGAGAAGGAGAGGGCCTAAAGATCATAGCAGCAAGGATTCTCCCCATCCAGAGCAGCCTCCTCTCTGAGTTCCTCCTTATGGTCTCCACCTAAGGGGATGGATGCTACTCTACACTCTTCCCATACCATGCTTCTCGATCCTAAAGCATTGTCCTTGTAATGCTGTGTCGACAGAATGCAGCCAGGAAGGTTGCTTCCACATGGGCTGTATCAGGAGCAGATCTAGCTGTAGGTTGGATGTGCGTGCTTTAGAAAGCATGGAAGAGTGTGCATATGTGTAAGTATGAGTTTTTGAGTGACTGCATGTCCCTTTCTGGGTGTCTGCGAGTGCATGTAGTAGTTATGGGTGTGAGTAGCATGAATGCGTCACTGAGTGTGTGTAGTATGTGTGCACATGTTGGGGTATTCTCCAGAGGGAGAGGACTTCTGCCCCAAGATACAGAGGGAAGGGTAGTGCGAATTACGCCCTGCAAGGAGCTCCAACCTCTGTGAATATTGCTGCGCCAGGTCCCAGCTTGTCCTGCTGTCCCAGCTCTCTCAGGTTAGACCTCTGCTCTGGAGCCCCTAGATCTACACTCACACTGAGTTAGAGTGTGGGGAGTAATGGAGGGTGGAGTAGTGGGTATGGAATGGAATGAATTGAGCAGAGAAGAGTACAGAAAATTCCAGCTGCACTTTTTAATAGGACAAGAGGTATCCAGAAGCCATAGTTGAGGGGGTGGGGGTTGTGTACACCCCTGAGCACTCATGGGCTCATGTGAGTATTACAATAGCACTGAAGGCCAATTTCCTGTTGTCAGTCAGTTGAAAGGTGTGATGATGGAGTTGTAGATGAGACTGCTACTCTGCAGCTGAAATTATTCAGCAGAATCTTGAAGAGCCAACACCCTCCCAAGCGTTCAGCACCTGTACCCTGGAAGTGCTGTTGTAGCTTCAGAAGCATGCTGGAAGTTAGGCTGAGTCTCCCTAGGGCATTTGGGGATGTGGGGCTATAGTGTGTGATGTATGAATGGTGTGTGACCAGGCCTGCCTCTACCCTGAGTCCGACAGCAAACAAAGGCTTCTTTGATTGAACTCCCCAAGCGTGGCTTTATCCCCAGCAAGCTCAGCCAAGCCCAGAGGCAGCTCCCTATGTGGAGGAGTGTTTGAGGCTTTCCCCACAGTGCATGGGTCCACACTGGCAGTTGGGCAAGGGAAACAGGAGACAGATTATCACACTAATGTCAATGTCAATTACAATTCAAGGAGAAGAAGATGATGGCATTTTCCATGGAGCTGCAGCTTAAAAGAACAAGATGTGGGAAATTTGATGAAGACATTGACAACTGTCCCTTTCAATCAAGTTCAGGACAGAACAATGTAAGACATATAGTAGGTCTCTCAGGTCACACAACTGAGGATTCAGCTTGGGACAGAGGGGAAAGTGGGGTAGGTGACAGTGTCATTCCTAGGCACATAGAGAAGTGACAGAGCTGCAGGCACTGCTATGCCCACCACTGGTGCTACATAGGAGCCCAGGTGGGCAGGCCATCCTTCAGGTGCACTTGTAGCCCCTGGCCAGACTGGAAACTGACTCTGCCCACTCACCCCATTCCAGTTGCCAGCCACTCGGGCCACAGTGGTGACATTGCTCCTGGCCAAGGGTCCATGTCTCTTGGGAAAGCCATTGGATATTCCTTCTCTGGTCTTTATTGATGTGCCTTCCCTACAGAATTCAGGAGGAAAAAATTGAGATGGGCAACATGGCCTTTGCTAGACTGGCTTTCTCAGGTCCCCCTGAGAAAAAAAGCCAATGGGATGGGGATTGAAGAGGGGACCACAGCTCACCTCCCATGCCCTGACCAGATTCCATGGACTATCAGTTACTGCTTTGGGGAGAAGGTCAAGGTGAACCCCCCCTAGGGTGAGGGGCTCCCCTGAGATAGAACCCCTAGGAAAGAGCACCGCAATATTGTACTATGGGCATGGGTCACACTGGATCAGCCTGAGTGTTGCCCTGGAGACCACAGGCCTAAGGATGAGAAAATGGCACAGAAGCCCCTGAAGTCAGGACAAGGTCCTGCATTCAGAACAAGCAGTGCTCAGGTGGGGCTGCACCTGAGAATCACAGCCTGTACCCCAGCTGCTAATGCCAGTATGGGTGGTTGGGATATGTGTGGTGTTTACAGCAGGAGCCACTGTTTTCAACCATTCTCACCCACTTTCCATCCCTGTGCTTGCCCGCAGATCATCACCTGCTTCTTCACCATCAGCACTGATCCCTGGAATACAATATTTGAACTCTGGAACAAGACCTGCTTGGAGGGTGGCTCACTCAGTTAAGTGTCTAACTTCAGCTGAGGTCACGATCCCAGGTCCTGGGATCAAGCTCTGCATCAGGCTCTCTGCTTGTTGGAGTCGCTTCTCCCTCGGCCTCTGCCTACCATGCTCCCTGCTTGTGTTATCTCTCTCTGTAAAAACAAAAAACAAAAAACGACCTGCTTGAATGGCATCCACTAATGAGATCCCAGAATACCTGGCTCTGATTGTTCTCCTGAACACCAGTCATGTCCTGTTGGTCACCCTTCAGTGGCTGAGCAGCTTCAGGTTATGTACTATTCATTTACAAAATCTGATATCTCATATATGGGCATTGTGAAAATTCTTCATTGTTCATTTTTTATGTAGAAAAAATATTAAACATTAGCATTTCAAGAAGCTTTATATGGCATGGCTCCAGATAGAGGGGCTGGGCAGGTGAAGGGCTCATCCCAGCAGGGCAGTGGAGTGGCCCCAGGTGGAGGGTTCTTTTCCCATGCAGACCTCTGGTGTCATCTCCAGGTGGCAGGAGATGGTGTCAACTCCTGGAAGTGCAGGAGACTCTGAGCTGCTGCCTTGAGGCTCATGAGGAATCACCTGCTCCCTAGAGGTGCAATGACCATGATCCAAAAGAGAGCCCAAAGTGCAGGATGGACCCAGACAGGCGCTCAGACCCTCAAAACACATAAGGCCCCTGTATTGGGGGGCTTGCTCACACCCATTCCCTGATCCATGCATCTGTGAGGATATGAGAGTATCTGTACCTTCCACCCACAGAGTGATCCAACCGCTACCAGCAGTAGCAGCAAGTCCTGGAACCTTAGAAATGTTCCATCAGGGATTCTCCACTTTTGGACAAGGAGTTTTCATTTTCATGAAATCCCAACAGATACACGATGAAATCTTGAGTGTCACTGCTCTACCAAATGCTATGAGACTCTGCCTGAATTTCCTGGGTACGGATTTGCCAGACAATTTCTAGTAATAGAGTTCAACTATTTTGGCCTTTGTGGGCCACCAGTTTTGTTCTCATCTCCTCAGCGTTGCTTTGAAAGCTCCATAGAACATATGAGTACATATTACAGTGTTGTCTTCCAGTGAAACTCTTTACAAACACAAGCAGGAGCTCTGTTTGGTCCTTTGGCTGCCACTCCCCGCATCCCCGCTGACATAGATTCCTCTGCAGTGCCCATGAAGTGAATGTACCCAGTGTCCTGTCACCTATAATTTAATCTTGGACTGAATACACCTTTATAATTTACACTTTATTTTCATGATTATCAGATGACTATATTTCAAAAATTCACATTCTATATAGGGTAGAAAGGTTTACAGACACTGTGGAAGCAGACTTGTTCACTCACCTTTCAACTCTCCTGCTTCCTTTATAATGTTTAGCCTTCTTTGTATCACTGGAACAAGTGACAGAATCTTCCAAATTCATGTGCAGTTACCTTTTTGCCTGTAACATGATAGCTGCTGTGTTGAATGGTCCAACTCTGGAGTTATTGGGATACAGGTTCATGAGTACTAGAGCTTCTTGATGAATTCTTTCTCTTAGCATCACCTCACTGTGACTACTGTTCTGGAGGCTGCCAGCCTCCATCCAATCACATATCACATCACCCACTACTATGAGGAACTTCTTGCACTTGCCTGCTGACTAGTGATGTGTGGGAAGGAATTGTCTCACATTATGGGACTATGCAGGGGCTATAGATGTCTACACTTTGGTGGGGATGAGTTTATCTCCTTGTCTTCACATGGGAGAGAAATGTGACTTGGACCCTCCATGTTTGTGTGGTTCTATGAAAATAGTGGGTTCAGGATGAGTGTCATGGTCCACACCCAATGTGGTGTCATTGGGCACCAGGTGTTGTAGATGGTGAGGAAAGACCATGGGGTACCCCAGCTGTGTGGGCTGGATGGCGGGGGTGGGGGGTGGACCAAATTCTTCAGCACCAGGAGTTGGGATTGCAGCTGGGGCTGTAGTTCACCCTTGGACAAGGCCTATTATTCCCACCCTCTCCATCAGTGGGTTCTCCCCAGGCCCACACTCAGGGCCACTGATAATCACAGTGGTGACAACAACCCCTGGAATCTGCACTTTGCTGTTGGCTCAGTTGCAGCACTAAAGTCCCCTTAACTCTTGTCCCCAAGGCTGTGACTGAGGGTCAGACAGCATGGAACAATGAGCTGATCTGGCCCTCTCATTTCCAGGCCAGGGCCCCCAGCCAGCAGCCTGGGCCTCTCTGGAGGTCAAAGGGAATTCATCACAGTTGGCCAGTGCTACATGCCCCCAGGGTTCTCAGTGGCCTCATACCAGGAAACGACTATTGTCATCCACTGTCTAGGGCAGAGAGGGTCAGTCAGAGAATAGGGGACTATTCTGGCCGTGTCCTCAATCGTCCATGGGTGAATCCCACCTATGTTCTCTCCCCCTGGCTGATGCCTACGGAGAGAGGGTAAGCTCAATCACAAGGAGTATTGTGAGACAGGACAAGACTTTAGTCTTGGCCACACTCATCTTTGGACCAGAGCCATGAAGGCTGCAGAACCATAACCCCACCAATACCCCTACTCCTACCCTTACTGCTACCCCTACCCCTAACTCTACTCCTATCCCTACCCCTACCCCTAAACCAACCCCTACAACTACCCCTGACCTTACCCCTACTACTACCCCTGCCCCTACCTATACCCCTAACCCTAACCTAACCCTACCCATACCCCTACAACTATGTCTACCCCTACCCCTATCCTTAACACTACACCAAACCATACCCTACACCTAAACCTACCCATGAACCTACCTCTACTCTTACCCCTAAACCTACTTCTAACCTTACCTCACCCCTACCCCTAACTCTAACCCTAATCCTACCCTATGCCTACACTCACTCCTAACCCTAACCCTACTTCTACCATTACCATTACCCTACCACTAACCCTACCCTACCAACACTCCTACCCTACCTCTACTCTTACACCTTCCCATACCACTCCCCTACTTGTACCACTAAACCTATTATACCCAGACCCAAATCTCTAACTTTAACTGTACCCCTACAGGTATACCTACTCCTACCACTACACCTTACAACTTCTAACCGTACCCTAAACCCTACTGCTAACCCTATTCCTACACCTACCACTAAACCAAACCTACCACTATACCTAGCCATACATCTAACCCTAACTCTACCCTAAGCCCTAAACCTACACCTATGCCTACTCCTACCCCTACCCCTAACCCTACTCCAAACCCTATCTCTAGCCATGCACCTAACCCTACTATTAATGCTAACCCTACACCTACACCTACATTATACTTACCATGACCCCTACTTCTCCACTTATTCCTACCCCTGACCTGACCCCTATCCTACACGTACCCCATCCCTACCCCTACATCTAACCTTTCTCTAAGGCTGCGCTTAACCAGACCCCTAATTCTACAACTAGCCCTACCTCAACCCCTATCAGTAACCCTACCTCTACACCTAATCCTACCCCTACACCTACCCATACTTCTAACCTTACTCTACCCCCAACCTTAACACTACCTCTCATCTACCCTATCTTTTTTTTTAAACATAGCAGTGTCAAGTTTTTTTTTATTTTTTTAATTATTTATTTATGATAGTCATACAGAGAGAGAGAGAGGCAGAGACATAGGCAGAGGGAGAAGCAGGCTCCATGCACCGGGAGCCCGACGTGGGATTCGATCCCGGGTCTCCAGGATCGCGCCCTGGGCCAAAGCCAGGCGCCAAACCGCTGCGCCACCCAGGGATCCCCACATCTACCCTATCTTTACACCTACCTCTACCCCATCCCTAACCCTATTACTACCACTACCACTACCCACTTACCCACACTCCTAACCCCACCTTACCCCTACCTCTTCCCTAACCCTATTACTACCACTACCACTACCCACTTACCCACACTCCTAACCCCACCTTACCTCCACCTCTACCCTTGCCCATATCCCTACCCATATCCCTAACCCTATTACTACCCTTGACCCCAGTCCTACCACTAACCCTACCCGTACATCTAACCCCAACCTATCCCTACCCCTAACCATACCCGTACCCATACACCCAACTCTACATCTGCCCCTACCTCTACCCTTAACACTACAACTAACCTTTCCCCACACTTAAACCTACCCATGAACCTACCCCTAACCCTACCCCTAACTGTACTTCTACCCCTACCCCAACCCTACCCCTAACCCTACCCTACCCCTACCACTACACTGAACTATAACCCTATTGCTATACCAACTCCTAACCCTAACCCTACTCCTCCCTTTAGCCCTACCCAATCCCTAACCCTAAACCTACCCTTACACATAAACTTAACACTAACCCTACCCATACCAATACACCTACCCATACACCCACTCATACCCCTAACCCTACTCCTGCATCTACCCTTACACTACCCCTACCCCTAACTGTACCTATACTCTTACCCTACCTCTACCTATACCTCTACACCTTCCACTAACCAGAACCCTACTAGTATAGTATCTACACATGCCCCTAACCCTAACCCTACCACTAGCCCTAAACCTACAAATACCCTACCACTTCCCCATTACCCTACCATTAACCCTAACCCTACACTTACCCCTACCCCTACATCTACGCTTACTGTAACTCCTACTCCTCCCTTAGCCCTACCCCTAACCTGAACCCTACTCCTAAACCTATACCGACACCTAAACCTAACCCTACCCCACCACTAACCCTAACCCTACCCCTCTCCCTACCTCTACCAGCAACCATACCATTGCACCTACTTCTAGCCATATCCCCTTCCCCTAACCCTACTCCTACTCTTACCCCTACACCTAACCCAACACTTACCACTCCCCTAATCCTTCCCCCACCATGACCCCTACACTAAACCCTATTCTTAAGCTTACTCCTACCTCTACCCCTAACCTTACTACTAAACCTACTCCAACCACTACCCCTACTCTACCACAACCCCTAATCCTACTCCTAACCCTACCCAAACTGATAGCCCTAATTGGACCCTTAACCCTACACCTTAC